ATAAAAAGAGAGAGGGCAGTGAGTTTGTTCTAAAAATGCTTCCTTTATTAGCAGAACACCATAATCACGTAATTGTGTAAGTAGGTCTAAATGTATCACCTAAATCAGCTTTATACAACTATATGGAAATGATTTGATCACATACTTACAGTCTCATACATATATGCAGAATATATTATTGTTAGCTGCATTATTTTGTCATTCACATCATTATAAGATTATTCTTTATACTAGGGCATGGTGATGGAAGCATTTTTCCATTATTCACGGTTTTGGCCAGTGTACAAGAGTTTATCAGCTGTAGTAAACTAGAAACAACTTTGCTTAACCATAACTAGTATAATTGTACAAAATGGTTTGTCAGGCATTGATGATTCTCCTTGCTTTCATGACAGCTGCTGGAGCCATCACAATAAATATGCAAATTCCACATCACTATATGATTCTGATTATACTTTCCACTTGTGGAACTTTAAAGTGGTTGTAAACCCTTACATATATCCAGTGAAATGACTGGCCTTAAATGATACACATAGAAACAAAGCCTCCTACATATGATGTACCTGTCAGTCTGCAGTCTTCTCTTCTCTACTTCTGTTCAAAGTGCTGAATTTATAAAGCTTGTCTGAGATTTCAGAAAAAAAAGAGTGGAGAGATGAGGTTACACTCTGCAGAGCTCGGTGAGGAGAGTTCTGAGAGCTGATTGGAGGGAAGGGACACACACGCCCCTCCACATAGGAACAGAGCTGAGGCTGTCAATCAGCTGGAGCTCCCTCCCCTGTCACTATTTTTCTCTTGGTGTCAGGAAAACTTGTCAGACGTGATTCAAGCTGATAGCAGAGGAATGAGGCAGCAGATAGAGATCACACTTAGTGATCTGGATAGAGACATTTACACACTATAGATGGATATGATTTGTTCATATTTCATGTCAGAGGTTTACAGCCACTTTAAGCCATGAAGAAGACCTTTTCAAGCCTACTTTGGCCTGTTTTTGGACATGCTGACCAAGATACTATATATACTCTGGTATATACTGCGGTGCTCTCCGTCCTCTACAGTAGATCAAAGCAGAGAGAGACAGAGGTCTCATTCAGGTGTTTGCTGTTAATGCTACATCATACAGTACAAAGATCGAGTACTGGCAGTGCTTCAAATGCTATTGTATAAGCACATTTTAGAGGGGGCCGCATGAGATGCCCCTAGTACGTTTTCAGAGGCTTTTTTGGGTGTGGTTTGAATGTGGGAGAGGACACAGGGGCCCCATGATCCCCTATTGTTCGGGGGCCCCATGAGTTGTCAGTCCACCCCTGTTTACTACTGATGTTCCATCCATGTATCTGAGTGTCTCCCTATTACCCCATGCTGGAGGGGAGCTGGGCTTTGCTGCTGCCTTTGATCACTCATTTGCAACTTTTTTCTCATTTTTTTTTTTTTTTGTGTTATTAAAGTCCATATAGTCCATAAAGTCTTATACAGTAGGTCACCTGAGAGCTGTGTAAAATTTGGATTTATATGATCAACACCTATTGCCCATATATAATATCCTTTGTATTCTTGGTTTTCAAGCAACGCTGTGCTTTCCATCAGTAAAAATGGCCATATTTGATCTTTCAGTTCAGCAAAACTTGTCACCCCCTGCATTCTACAGGAGCCAACATTAACAATCCATTTAATTTATTTCAGGTACTTATATATAGCGCCGTCAATTTACGCAGCACTTTACATACATATATATTGTACATTCACATTAGTCCCTAACCCTCAAGGAGTGTACAATCTAAAGTCCCTAACTTACATTCATACATACACATACTAGGGACAATTTTTTAGACAGGAGTCAATTAACCTACCAGCATGTCTTTGGAGTGTGGGAGGAAACTGGAGTACCCAGAGGAAACCCACGCAGTCACAGGGAGAACATGAAAAGTTCAGGCAGGTGGTACCGTGGCTGGGATTTGAACCAACGACCCTAGTACTGCCAGGTGGAAGTGCTAACCATTTAGCCACTGTGCTGCCCCAATTTGTATTTAAAAAAAATAAATAGAATACATGGAATGCAATCTGGTATGCAATTTGTGCGTATATGCTAGTATACACCAGCAGCACCCTTTGAAGAGTGAACTGTGTTGGATTGCTCTTCGGATGGTATTTGGCAGGCAGTTAGGAAGCATTATGTTGGCACTTCAGTGCCTTTTTTAACCCCTAAAAGCCTGCACTGCAATTGCAGGGCAGTTGCAAAAAGGTCTCATTCACTTTAATGAGCAACAGTGGGGATACTTTTTGCTGTTCCACAACCCAAACCATCACAAATGCAGCATTCATGTGCCCCCATGCTGCTGCCTTCGCTGCTTAAGGGGAGCAGTTGGGGGGCAGTAAAAAAGCATCTCAACTAGGTGTTTTTAGTTCCCCTGAACTTGGTTTTTAAACAATCAGGTGTGTACACCAGGATAAGAGGGGCATGATTTGGCATCCTAGCCCTGGGTACTAATGAAGGCAGGGGCGGACTGACCATTTGGGAACTCAGGCACTGCCCGAGGGCCCGGGGGTCAGTAGGGGGCCCCATGAGATGCCCCTGGTACCTTTCATAGGCTTTTTTGGGTGTGGGGAGTGTGGGTGAGAACACAGGGGCCCCATGATCCCCTATTGCCCGGGAGCCCCATGAGTTGTCAGTTTCTCCCCTGACTGAAGGCATATTGAACACTCCGTACCCCTCTCCTGCACATACAGCCCACTGCCATTCACTCCGTATCCCTCTCTCGCACATACTACCTGTCACCATACACTCCGCAACCCTCTCCTGCTTATACTACTCACCGCCATACACTCCATATCCCTCTCCTGCTTATACTACCTGTCACCATACACTCCGCAACCCTCTCCTGCTTATACTACTCACCGCCATACACTCCATATACCTCTCCTGCACATACTACCCACCACCATACACTCCGCACTTCTCTCCTGTACATATTACCCACCACCATACACTCTGCACTCCTCCTCTCCCACAAATACTACCTGCCACCATACACTCTGCACTTCTCTCCTGTACATACTACCCACCGCCATACACTCCGCACTCCTCTTCTTTACATACCACCCGCCACATATACCCCATATCACTCTACTGTGCCACCACCATACACTCCGTACCCCTCTTCTGTACATACCACCTGCCACCATACACTCTGCACCCCCCTCTCCTGCACATACCACCTACCGCCATACACTGTACATACTACTCACCACCATACACTCTGCACTCCTCTACTGCACATACCACCCACCACCATACAGTCCGCACCCCTCTCCTAAACATACTACCCACCACCATACACTTCGTATTGGTTTTTAGGTGAAGAGTTCCTCATTCATTTATCTTAATGCACTTTGCAAAAAGTCTGTCTGGGTAATGAAGAAAGCTGGACATTATTCAAGAAAAAAAAAAGGAATAACAAGGAAATCTGTGAGGTAAGCATTCTACAGCCACCAGTGAAATGATTCTTAATTGCACTCAAGATATGTCAAACACTCTATTTACCCACACCCCTTTAAGCCACACCCAATATATAGCACAATTTAAACCATGCCCACTTTTCAGAGCAGCACGCAAAGCACTCCAGATTTGTATCTTTCTTGATGCTTAGGGTCCACTTTTGATCCTGCAAACGGGCCCACTGATTTCATGATACGACCCTGAATTTACTCCGTAAATACACTATATTACCAAAAGTATTGGGACACCCATCCAAATCATTGGATTCAGGGGTTTTAATCACCTCCATGGCCACAAGTTTATAAAATCAAGCACCTAGGCACCTGCTTCTACAATCATTTGTGAAAGAATAAGTCACGCTCAGGAGCTCAGTGAATTCAAGCATGGTACCGTGATAGGTTGCAGCTGTGCAATAAGTCCATCCATGAAATTTCCTTGCTACTAAATATTTCATGGTCAACTGTTAGTGGTATTATAACAAAGTGGAAGCAACTGGGAACAACATTAACTCAGCCATGAAGTGATAGGCCACGTAAAATGACAGAGCGGGGTCAGCGCATTCGCACAGTGCGCAGAAGTCACCAACTGTCAGCAGAGTCAATAGCAAAAGACCTCCAAACTTCATGTGGACTTCAGATTAGCACAACAACAGTGTGTTGAGAGATTCATGGAATGGGTTTCCATGGCCGAGCAGCTGCATCCAAACCTTACATCACCAAGTGCAATGCAAAGAGTCGAATGCAGTGGTGTAAAGCACACCACCACTGGACTCTAGACCAGTGGAGACATGTTCTCTGGAGTGACGAATCACACTCCTCTGTCTGGCAATCTGATGGATGTGTCTGGGTTTTGTGGTTGCCAGGAGAGCGATACTTGCTTGGCTGCATTGTGCCAAGCGTAAAGTTTGGTGGAGGGGGGATTATGGTGTGGGGTTGTTTTTCAGGGGCTGGGCTTGGCCCCTTAGTTCCAATGAAGGGAACCCTTAAGACATCAGCATACCAAGACATTTTGGACAATGTCATGCTCCCAACTTTGTTGTAACAGTTTGGGGATGACCCCTTCCTGTTTCAACATGATTGTGCACCAGTGCACAAAGCAAAGTCCATAGCAGGGGCGGACTGACAACTCATGGGGCCCCCGGTCAATAAGAGATCATGGGGCCCCTGTGTCCTTGACCACACTCAAACCACACCCAAAAAAGCCTATGAAAGGTATCAGGGGCATCTCATGGGGCCCCCTACTGACCCCAGGCCCTCGGACAGCGCCCGAGTTCCCAAATGGTCAGTCCGCCTCTGGTCCATAGACATTGATGAGCAAGTCTGGGGTGGAGGAACTTGACTGGTATGAGTCCTGACCTCAACCCGATAGAACACCTTTGGGATGACTTAGAGACTGCAAGCCAAGCCTTCTCGTCCGACCTCAGTGCCTGACCTCACAAATGCGAAATCTGGAAGAATGGTCAAACATTTCCATAGACGCACTCCTAAACCTTGTGGACAGCCTTCCCAGAAGAGTTAAAGCCAGGGGCGGACTGACCATTTAAAAACTCGGGCAGTGCCCAAGGGCCCAGGGTCAGTAGAGGGCCCCATGAGATGCCCCTGGTACCTTTTTCATAGGCTTTTTTGAGTTTGGGCAAGGACACAGGGGCCCCATGATCCTCTATTGCCCAGGGGCCCCATGAGTTGTCAGTCCGCCCCTGGTTAAAGCTGTTATAGCTGCAAAGGGTGGGCCAAATGAAAATTGAACTTTACGGACTAGGACTGGGATGCCATTAAAGCACATGTGTGTGTAAAGGCAGGGGACCCAATACGCTTGGCAAATATAGTGTACATGAATGGGCATAATAGTAGGTTAATAAATTCAGTGGAGACATTTTACATAATTCTGAAGTGGTGCAGGCAGTGTGGAGGCCTGTTTTGCCATTTTGAAAGCACCACAAAAGGTCAAATTATTAATAATCACTAATACTTGTTATCGTTATTGATATTTTTAGTATTCATAATGTTAGCGTAACCATATTTCTCCACAGGGATGGGATACAATCAATGATTAAATATCTAAATTCACTGCATTTATAAAACTCGCTGAAGAGTCTTGCTAGACTGAGAATACATCATTCTAGATAAAGATACAGAATAAAAATAGGTAGTGTAACAACATGTTTTAAAAAATACTGAAGTAGATATTTAACTTATCAAAGTCAATTTCTATGAATATTAGTAAGCCAATAAAGTGAAATAAGATAATCTTTGAGTTAAATTGTTGCAGGCTGAAGCTTCTGTAAAAGCATTAAGGAAATACAGTACAAGGAATATAATATAAATTAAAATCTGTAAAACTAAGGCTGACAATATGCTTAAAGTGGTTTTAAAGGCTCAAGGATTTTACCTTAATGCATTCTCTGGTAAGTAAAAAGCCTTCTGTGTCCAGAATATCCCCAGCCCCCTTATACTTACCTGAGCCTGATCTCGATCCAGCACTGTGCCCGAGAGCAGTAGCTCTCTGCTCACTCCAGCCTAACATGGCAGATTGATAACAGCAGGAGCCATCGGCTCCTGCTTGCCGTTAATCAAATCCTATGATGAAAGAGCAGGAGGCTGGGCAAAGCCCAGCTGTCTGTCTCTATGGATGCAGGCATCGGGGCTCAGGAGCAAGCCTAGGAGGAGTGCTCCTGTTAGCAAACCACTTGCTGGAGGGTACTCAGCAAAGGGAGGAGCCAATATTAACAGTGGGGAACCTGGGAAGAAGAGGATCGAGGTAGCTCTGTGCAAAACATTGTACAGAGAAAGTAAGCATAACATGTTTGTTATTTTAAATAATGTAAAGGTTTAGAATCACTTTAAGATTTAACTGCAATTTCAGTTTATTTAAAGGTATATAGAATTCTACATCTACAGTGCAGGTATCTATGCTATTGTATGGAGTAAATATAGCTTCCTGTATGACTTCCTACCATGCTTTGGAATTAAGTATTTTAGATTGCAAAATGACGCAACAAGTTCAGCTCACTATATAATTTTACACTGACCATCAACCCAGTACCAAATAATTACAGCTTTTATTCCATTCAAGTTGGGGTTGATTCACTAAAGGGAAAAAGGCTGCATACATTGCAAGTTTCACTTTTTATTGGACTTTTGTAACTGTGGTGAAATTTCACTTCGCTAAGAATAATTAATTACTCCATTCTGATGACTTAGCCTTAGGATGTAGCCCACTGACATTTTAAATTCATATTGGCTAAATACACTCCAGGTTAATCAAAACAACAGGTGGACAAAGTCATACAGTTCATTTTCTTCTGAAACTAACCACAATCTGAGTAAAGCATGCCTGTGTAGCCCTCTTTTGGAGGGACATTATGAAAAATTAGCCTCCCCAAACAGGACAGTGTGTTAAACCTGTAGATAAATAAAAGAACCAGAACATTCGTATGTGGAAGAATGGGCTTCATTTCAGATGAATGTTGCAGCAAAGTCCAGTTTCAGGGACCCCTAAGGATGATCACAGTGCAGCATCCATCTTTGTGTCGAAGATCTGAAGACAAGATTACCAGTGAATGGGGAGATCCTCCAACTGTTGGCCAAACAGCTTGGAATGCAGCTTCTCACATACAGAAACTGTGGTGTGGCACTGGAATTCAGCTCAGAGTCAAATGAACCTCTAACTACCAAATGTGGCCATTGGATGCCTTACCGGGCTCTAGCCTATGCTGGTTATTAAGCTATAAAATCAAAGACCAGAAGAAACAGGGGTTAATGAAAATAACAAGAGCCATATAAAAACTCCACTGTAATAAAGAGGTTCACCTACTAATATGCTGGGAGGCTTCCACTACACATATACAGTAACACAGTACTAGGCAGGGGCGGACTGACAACTCATGGGGCCCCCAGGCAATAGGGGATCATGGGGCCCCTGTGTCCTTGCCCAAACTAAAAAAAAGCCTATGAAAAAGGTACCAGGGGCATCTCATGGGGCCCCCTACTGACCCCGGGCCCTCGGGCAGTGCCTGAGTTTCTAAATGGTCAGTCCACCCCTGGTCCTAGGTATTTGGCACTGTGCATGTGAGATAATAACAATAGGACAGAGATAATCTGTCTGTCACAAGGATTCAGAAGCACACTCCAGAAGCTATGGGCAGCTTCAGTTAAACTATTAGAACATAGGAATACTTGCATAATATCTTTTCTTGCCGGGATTAAGCTGCATGGACAGGACATGTGGCTGGGACCCTTTCTCTCTCTTCACTTCCACTTTCAAAGCTCGCCCCTAAGAGGCAGGAAATGCTATTCTATAATTTTACATAACACTGTAATATTAGCAGCTAACAGTTGAGGGCAGCAGATCCATACACCAACTTGCTGCAAAAAAAGGACCCTTTATATGTGTAAAAGCAGTGGTCTCTCTACAGAGGTCTGATAAACCCTCAGCTGAGTCAAAGCTAGAGTGTGAGTTTTGCAATTTAAAGAGCTATAGATCTTACTCAGCAGAAGGCATGTGCTGCAGAGAATCCAATGCTTCCACACAGAGTAAGGGTTCTCCTGGCAGCAGACAAGCTTTTCTACAGCTCTTCAGACTGTGGCTAATTTCTGAAGGAAAAAAAAAACTGTAAGACTTTGCACATCTTTTGTTTTGTTGTACCTAGACTACATTTAGCTGACTTAAACAAAAAAGGTTCACAGGGCCGTTATGGGGAAGATTTATGTGCATGGCGGCCAATCAGCTTCTAACTTCAGCTTTTTCAATTAGGCTTTGGCAATAAAACCTGGAAGCTGATTGCTTTCTATCCAGAGTTGCATGTTCCCATTTTAGTAAATAACCTCCTTTGCTCCTACACTGTTATTATTATTTGTTCTGCTCATGAAGCCTTCACTGTCTCTATTATGAAAGATCACATAAATAATCCTAGTTATCTGTTGCAAAACATCACTTACCTAATGACAAAAACCAAGTACAAAAAAAATCAGTGTCTGAATTCTTTCAGTCAAATGACTTTCTGGACGTTCTAGAATCTAGATCATCCCTATGGAATTTACACAATGCATTACCGAAAGGTATTTTAATTAAATTGGGTTCTTATGATAAAAACATCAAACCACAACAATCTTTGGATTTTAAAGAATCAAAGATTTTGAACGCTGCAACAAAACTCATCCAAAATTGTCAACTTTTCAAGAGTTACTAAACTGCAGAAAAGATCTGTTAAAAATTGTACTTTATTTATGGAAAAGAAGCTATTAATGCTGAAACTGTCTTACTACTGTAATGAAAATAAACCCGGATCTACCTTGGCTATAAAATTGCAAGTAAAGACAAACGTATTTGAACCAAAATAGGTTATAAATTGATTCTTTGTTTAAGAATACAATCTAGGCCAATCAGTGATCACATGATCGGAACCGCGTACAGAGGTCCCGTACAACGATCGGTGTTCCACTGTGTCCGGAGGACACAGCGGGCTCTGGATCACGGTTCTGTGTGCTCCCAGGGAGTGCGCACGATGAGGGGGCAGGGAGGAAATTTATATACAACGGCCAGATGGGAGGTGGTTAAGGTGGGGTGGGCTCCCTCCAGGCTAATCTGCCCTCAGTCTATCCATTATGATACATGTGCTTCTACTATGGAGGCTCTCAAAATTATAGAGTTAGAACTGCAGAAAGTATTGGGGTGCCGTGAAGAGGCTCTGCAGCTTACACATGTATTTGCAAATGTGTGCAAACTAAACCCTGTTTTTAATGCAGACTGTTAGGACAATTCAGTTGGTCTCAGGCTGAACGGAAAATTGAGCTGGGAATTTTTATTTTTATTTTCTTTTTTTTTGTACTAAGTATAGTGTGCTTGTATTCCCAAGGTCTGTTGCTGTTGACACCCCCCCCCCCCCCCCCCGTGCCCACCTTCTGTTTAGGAGTTACAGGATGCTGAGCATGTCATGCCTTTACACCTGCTGTCAGATGATTTCGAACACAGACCCCACCCACCCTGCAAAAAATGTATTTAGAATGTTTTTTGGCGTAAATGTTTTGGCTTAGATTAGTATTGTACGTAATTTAACCCTAGGTCTGGAATTTGTACACTTTCCTGACTGCACTTTAGGCTAGATCCACACCTATGCTTTTTGCAGTGCGTTTACAGTTTTTGGAGAAATTCACTTTAGTCCACAGCAGGTTGCATTTTTTATTCTATAGATTTCAATGGAAATGCAGTGAAAAAGCAATAAAAAAAACACAGTGCTTGCATTTTTAATGCAGTTCAGCTATGTTTTTTCTGATTTCACCCACATGATAACTGACCTCTCAAAAAAAAAAAAAAACCATTAAAACTAAAAAAAAAACACCCCCCCCCCCCCCCCCCCGCAAAACTCACCAGGAAAACACATCAACCTCAACCTGCTTGGGCACAGGCATACCATTAATTGCTGTCCGCACATCTGTAAACATGCACATTTTTGGGAAAGAGTCAGGAATTCATTTTCCATGTTTCTTGTACGCAGGACCTTCCTAGATTGTAAGCTCCAAGGAGCAGGGCCCTCCTGACCCTCTTGTATTGAACTGTATTGTTCTGTATTGTCTCCCGTTATATTGTAAAGCGCTGAGCAAACTGTTGGCGCTAGATAAATCCTGTATATAATAATAAATGTTTGAGCATAATCAGAGTTCATATTAACGTTAAGTGTAATCTTCCTTGTTATTCCATACCACTGTTGCACCTTCCA